GGGGGGGGGTGTTGCATTTAATTTAGTGTTCCTGTCAGAATTCTCAACTCAGCTGGCTATGGAATAAATTTAGGTAGAAAGAGAAGCAGGTGCCAAGGGCAGTGGCAAGTCCAGTGAACCTGGATTTGAATCATGCCTCTGCCATTTACCCTTAGCAACTACTTAATCTCTCTAACTCAGTTTCCTCATCTCTAAAGGACATTCCTACTTCTGAGTTACACCATGATTTGATGGGCAAATGTGAATGTCCTTGGATACATCGAAATTCATTATACCACTGCTTAACAATGGGGGTTGGTTTGGAGGGGAAAAATAAAAACTAGAAGAAACGAGAGCCGAGAGTATCTGGATATATCTGTAACAAAAAAGGGGGCAAAATCTGCAGAATGAGGGTGAGAAATAGGCTTTCAACATTTATGAGAAATATAAGCTCTTAAAAACATCCTATGTAATGAAATGTAAAAATAAAGAACTTGGTAAAAGGTAATTAAATCTGTACTGTAGCAGAGTCTTAATTATTGACTGGGAGGGAAAAGACCCTCTAACTGTGGCAGTAAATCCTCTTCATTAAAAGAAGCCACAATTTAACCGTCTTCCCCTGAATTATCCAGAGTATTCTTCACAAATTATGTGAAATTCACATATTTAAAAATATCATGCTATCAGAACAAATAAAGAGACAATGTCTTATTCTCCTGGCTTTTCTTCTTCTGGATCCTAAAAGATAGCTCTGATCTGCTGGCACAGCCCACCGTGGGGTTGCCCCTCACGGGCGTTAACCCTGCCTCCAGCAGCTCTTTTTTGCCCATCACAACCTTCACTCAGACTGAGTTTGCAACTAGATAGTTTTCTGCCGCAGTCTGGCTGGGCACAAAATAACCGAGCCACCACAACAACAAAATGAAATAAACACATTTCCGGACTTTATCCTTCTATCCTCTAGGGAAGGCAGGTATACTGTCTTCCCTGCTTCATCAATGAGGAAAGTGGGACCAGAGAAAAGCCATTTGCCTAAGATCACACAGCAATTCTATAACCCCAGTGGCACTTAAATTTAGCTTTCCATAACTTAATCCCCATCTGTAATAATAAGGAAAACCTCAGGGTTTCCATGCAAAACTTTAGGCAACAGAGATCCAGTATAGTACAAAATCGAGAAGTAGAAGATCTAACACTTGATTGCCCTTGATTGTTTCATCTACAATTTTCGATTGCCACTCGATATTCTAGTATAATAAGCCTAGAATAACTTGGCCAGTCTCTGGGGAAAATATTAAGAAACATGTTTGAGGCTTCTAAGTATGATTTTTTAAAAGGACAAAAATAAAAAAATACAACACATAGGATACACTCAATTAGGCTCTGATCTTTAAAACTGGGATCCTACAGAAAGTAAAAGGCCATCACTTTATTGATTTATTGATCAATTATTCTTCCCAATCATTCCCTCCCACTATAAATATGAAAATGAAAATGACTAGTAATTCCCAGTTTTTAAATTCTCAATTACTTACCAAAGGTTCCAAGGTGCTGATGTCTTTCAGTTTATTTCCACTTAAATTTAGATGTGTGAGATTTGGAAGTTTTTCTGCTAACATATCCAGACCTCCATAGATTCTATTGTCACTGAGCTCAAGCTGCAAAAGAAATTGCAAACAATACACACAAGTACACATCAAGAAACACGTATTATAGGCAGGCATGGTACCACATGCCTGTAATCCCAATGGCTCAGGAGGCTAAGACAGGAAGACTGCAAGTTCAAAGCCAGCCTCAGCAACTTA